CGTGGTGGAGGAGTGCGGCTTTCAAGTGTCTGCCAAAATGGACACAAATCACCACAGAAATCCCAGCTGGCCCCTAGCCAAGAAGCCCATTTTCAAGCCTCCTCCAAGCTCATAACCAGATAGCTGAGGCCATCAGCCTGCTGCATGAGCTCTTGGGCATTTTCCTTTGGAGAGCCCCCATGCCCCTGCAGGAGCAGCTCTAGCTGGCTTGCAGCACGCTCCTCTAACTGGTCCCAACAGCTAGCACTGCCTTCATCGGTATACAAATAACACATCCTTCCGACACACGGGAGCCACTGGGCAGCTTTGCCACTGCTCCCAGAAAAGGACAAAGCCCAGCAACCCCAAGGCGAAATGCTCCTTCAGCCTCCGGACATGAGGAGGGGAGAAAGCAGAGGTCCACGTCCAGCCTCCCCACACCCCAGGAGGTCACACAGCAGGGAAGCAGCAAGCTCCCAAGGACAGACCCAGCCCCGCCCTGCAAGGCACTGTTATCTGCCAGCAGCTCCAGCTTCGCCAGCACTCCTCTCCATGGGGCACACAAGCAATGGCAAGAGCCAGGACAGCACGAATAGCCACCTCCTTGCAGAGAAGGGAGACAGCTGGAGAGACATCAGGGCTTTTCCAGCAGAGGGGGACCAGCGTGCTCCAGTGACCGCTATCGCACCTTCTCACAGCGGAGCAGGACGCTCTGGTTACAACAAGCCCCAAGCCTCCCAGTGCCTCTCCCTGGAAGTTCACTGGTGTCCCTGCCTTTGCAAAGCCCAGCACGGGTGGGGCCCTGGGAGCAGCGTAGTAACGCAGCACAGCTCCCAGCCCACCCCTAGGAGCGCCTGCAGTACGGGCCTGATGGGCGTAGCTCTTGGCAAGCCCCAGGAAAGCTCTATCACCAGTGCTGGCCCTCAGGGTCCCTCCAAGCCCTGCACACCCACACCAAGCACACCACACCGCGCTGCGCAGGCCAGCCTCAGATACATAAATCCTGCAACAGCCTTGCTCTGGCCACAAACAAGCAGGATTTCCGCGCCACAACTACAGCAGGGCATCTCCTCTGCCAGCCCCAGTCTGCAGAAATAATTAGCTAGGAAACAGGCGCCTGCAGCCTGAGGGTCCAACAGAGCACAGTCCTTCCAGGACCAGAAGGGAGCCACAGGGAGGGGCCATGAAACAAAACCCAGCACGTTATCCCCATGCTGAAGGGGCTGCAGGACCAGTCAATGACCATCTTCAGGAAGTCAGGATTGCACCTATGGCAGCAACTGCTGGGGCAGGAAGGCCCTTGCAGCTACAGTAGCACTTCAGCTCCCAAGACATGGCAGGGACCAGCATAAGCAGATGCCCACCCTGCCAGCCCAGCCTGGTCTGCACATCTGCTCCAGCCCAGCAGGTCCTCCCACAGAGACAGGGCTGAGCCTTCCCCACTGCCCCCACAACACCCAGAGCTGCACCCCTTCTTGCACGCACCCCAAACACCATGGGAACCCAGCACTCAACTGGAAGAACACAAATGTGCATTTTGGTGTGCTCTGGCCCTAGAGTCTCTGGGAACACATTAACCTCACCACTCCCATCAGGGACCAGGCTCCTGCCATCCCAGTCCATAGAGTACTTCTCTAACCAGGCCCCAGGCCTGTGAGCAACCTTCATGCAGGCCCTCTGCCCCACCAGGCTCAACCATGCTGCCAGCATGCCCTGCTCTGCCACTGGCTTGGTCAGCCCCATGGAGACATTGGGTTACCTTACCTTCCCCACATACAGTGGCTCCGTGCCTGTGTATTCCTCCACCACAAAGAATTGATTCCAGACCCAGCCACGCTTCACTCGCCCGCTGGCCAGCAAGGCAGGGTCCGCCGGCTGCCCTAGGCCAGGGCCCTCCATCGCAGTGTGCATGGCCCAGGCCCCCAGCTCCTGGATGGTGCAGAACAGCAGCAGCATGGTCCACAAGAAGCCCTGCAGACCCTTTGCCATTGCACTCTAGGAGGCTGCATGAGCAGTAGTTTTTGGACAGGCAACTAGCATCCTTTAGGGAAGAAGAGAAGGAAAGTCCAAACTAGCAGCGTGGGGCTCATCAGTCAACGCAGTGCATCCCCAACCCTGTTTAGGTTGCATGCCATGTGCTGCAGCTGAAGCACTCCTTCCCAGCAGGCTGGAGTCACACCTGTGACAACAGGTATCCTGGACTGCCCACTGCTAGCATGGGAGCAGTCAGTGCTGGTGCCTTGCAGGCTGCTTCTGGGTCTCCAGAGAAGAGTCTGGCAGCTGGCATTTGTCCCCAGGGACAGAGCTGCACGGCTCCGTGTTCAGCTGCTGCTGGTCTCACTGGGAAGCAGGGTCACACACAGCCTGCTGCCCACCCCACCAGTGGGCAGGGTGCTCCGCAGCAGCATGCAGGGCACAGACACCCACGACTCTCATTCACAGGAAGCAACAAGAAGCTTTTCCATGTAGGGCTTCACAGAGGAGTTAACAGAATGAGCTGCTGTGGCCAACGTCTGCCTGTCCTGCAGTGGCCCCGCACTACTGCACGAGGGATCCGGCAGCACAGACACCTGTGCTACACGTGCTTCACAAGCCTGTTTGTAACTCCCATCTTCAGGGGGGTGACATCCCAGCATCTGGCGAAGGGTCCTTTGCCCAGCTCATGCCGGTCACTTCCATCCTCTGCTGGCTCACGCAGGGAGGTACAGGGCAGCTGGCAGCATCCCCAGGAGCCTAGAAAAGGCCAAGGTGTCAGTGCTGGTGTGAGAGTGGGGCCCC